ACAACATAGACAGACTGAATAAAACAGCAGTCCCATGCCTGTATATGGTGCTTATAGCGTGAGATAATTTGCAGCACTTGTCCCTAAGTCTAAACAAAAACACAAAATGTAGCTTAAGTAGAGAAAAATACAGCAAGTACATTTAAGTAAATTAAAAAACAATGTAGTGGAACTGAAGAAATATCAAGATATTTGTCTATTAAACATTTAAAGGTTCTGGTAAGTTCTGGTTTTACCCTGAAACCTCTGGATGCGACCTTTTCCAAAGGGCATGGGGAGGTTGAGAGGCACGTAGTGCTCGTGGCTGCAAACAACCCGCAGGAACTCAAACTTAAACTCAAACAGAGTCTGAGGAGAACGTAGGACAAAAAGCAGTTTATACACCTTACAATGAGTTACATTTCAAAGTTTTTATGTAAAACCTTTAAAAACGTCACCTTGGGGTCTCCAGGCACAAAGCAGTTCATGTAGTTGTTGATCTGCTTGAAGACAAAACCTCTGTCCATGAAGGTGAAGCATCGCTGAGTGGAAAAAAAAAACACATCAGTCACTAAACAGGAACAATCTGACTGATTGGATGCTCTGAGGAGCCTGAAGGAGTGCCGACCTTGATGAAAACTGCCAGGCTGTGGTTGGCGTTGCGAGAAGCGTCCAGGTTGTCTTTGTATTTCTGGGTGATGTGCGGCATCAGCATGTTGACCAGAGTCTCCACTGCGTGGTAGAAGGAYGCCGAAAAACGCTGGTTCCTCGACAGCTGGACACGCAGAGGAGCCAAAGAAAAGGGTTAGGTTCACAAAGAACAGCTTGAGAATAAGAAAAAAAAAAGATTTGTACCTTTACTTTCCCGCTCTCTATAAGATAATAAGCCATTGATTTCACCAGAGCTTCAAAGAAGTACCACGAGTGCTGCAACAAGAGAGAACATCTGTGAAGCAAAAACAGTCCTGGGATTGGTTTATAACTGTTGGAAGAGTAGCTGGCCACTCAAAAATTATGATAATTAAATAAAAATTGCGAGAAAATGTGCTAATTCTCTGCTGCGGCCGTTCTGAATTCTGAAAGCAAACTGCTGGCCATGCAGCCACATTTTTAATCACCTGCTTTCAAAACGTACAGTTTAGTGCTCTATTATTTATGAAAACTAAATGTAGAGCAGTTCCAGATGCTATGGGGTTCCTTTGTGTTTTAGTTTGTTTTTAGTCTCTTAATATTTTGTTTAGTTTTTGTGTGTTATTTTGTTGAATTTGTTGACTGTATTGCAGTGTGGTGGGCACAGGTCAGGGGTCGGATTTATAAAACTGGCGTACGCACAATATGAGCCCAGAAACTTGCGTACATCACTTTCTACGCCAAGGTTGTGATTTATAAAATCCAAACTTGATGTGAAAATGTGCGGTCCCTCAGCAGCTCTGACCCATGTGTACGCTCATTTTGGAGACATGAAACTGCGACACAGATGGTGAAGTGARGAATTAGAGCCACACTGTGTAATGATCACTGTCAGAGATTTAATTTACCTTCAGAATCAGACTTAGATTTTTATTCAGCTTTATCATCAGCTTTCTTAACAGTAATATTTATGCTTCTGCTGCTGAGCCACAAGGACCTTTGAAATAAAAAAAAATGTAAGGTTATGAATATAACCACGGTTCCTTGAAGGAATGGAACGAAGTACAACACACAGTTGTATATGGGACACGTGTGAAGCCACCTCCAATCACGTCTTTAGACCGGTCACGTGGTGACGTTGAACGTCGGGTGACAGGCTCCGCCTTCACCCTATAAGTTCGGAGTCACCAGCGTCGTTACTCAGTTCTATCGCCCTTCACCTAGCGATAGTCACCTCTAAACCTGAGCTCATATAGCTGCTGCTAGTTAGCTCAGCTTCTAAGGTTCTTAGAGGTGCTTAAAGGCTAGCTTTACTGGTGCTAACGGCGTTACCTGCTGGTTCGTGTGTCTGCCGCTTGACACTACTTAAGTGACCTTAATTTTCTGCTGAAAATCTGTTTTGCAGTTCACGATGAGCACAAAACCACCTTCGAAGAAGCCAAAGTATTTTGTTCGCCCCTGTCCTCAGGGGTGCGGCTTTAAGCTTCATGAGAAGGACCAGCATGAGGCCTGCCCGGCCTGCCTATGAATCATTCACGCTCAACGGGCGCTTGTGGAGCCCGAGTCCTGCCGGGCCTGTGCCGGACTTTTGCGTCCGACACTGGAGAGGAGAGTGAAATTCCTGGAGAAAATGCTGGGGGAAACTGCTGTTTTCCGACAAGACCCGTTGATTGTCTCTTTTATGTCCCTGATGGAGACTGGAGACCTGTCCAGGTATCTCTGGTGAACTGGAGACCTGTCCAGGTA